TTCTTTTCCATCTCAAAATATTTATGGTCATAGGAAGCATTCTGGATAAGGAATCTGTTGTGCACATGCAAACTTTGGTTATGAAGTTACTTGGAAGTTGAATCTTAAAATTGAAGGGGGGGAAAAAGTGGAAGAGACAAAAGTTTGAATGTAGAATTTTAGCCTTTATTTTGTGCTTTGTCTCATGGATACATTTTCACTTTGATACATTTCACTACATATGTTTAAATTATTGTGCTGTTATTGCACAACAAATGTGGAAAATAACATGAGAAATGAAGAGGGAAACTACTGTGTCTGTGTTCCATGCCCAAAGGAAACATTCCCCCCCTTCTTCTCACCCTTGCTCCTCTCATTCTGTTTTAGTGGTAAACTTGAAGTTTTGAAGATTCCTGAACCTCTTCCATTTACAGTGTGATCCAGAATAAAGCCTCCGGCTCTTTTGGCTTAAAAAGCACCTTGCCAGAGCCCCAGGTGTATTTTTCCCTCCTCCCGTTGCTACATTTAAGGTCCCTGCATTGCAGCCATGCCCATGCCTGGCTGTGTACCCCGATGATCAGCCAGATCGTGGCTTTGACCCGTAGATTTGACTTTCTGGCTTGATTTCAGACCTGCCTTATTGCTATGGACTTCCCTGGTGACCTGTGCTTGTGCATGACCCTGGTGACTCTCTGCAGATCTGATCCTGACCCTTACCTGCTGGTTCAGTTTCTTGGCTTGACCTTGGGCTTTCCTGTCTGAGGATCTGAACTGTGCCTGAACGTGGCCACCATCAGTGGACCTGGTCTGCTCACTTTTGCCAGGTCTGGTGGGACTGCAGTGCTGTCAGTGAGGGCATGACCCTGCCTGCCTCCCTGTGTAGCCCAGAAACTAGCTCATCCTTCCAGCCACAGCAGTCTGCTCGTGCTGCTCCCTGGCACTGTCCTACTCTGTGCCAAGCAGTCATGGGGCTACAACAGCCTACTACATTGGCCTGGATCAAACTAAAACACACTGAATGCCATCAAAATCACAGCTATGTCCAGGACTTGGTCATTTCTAAATAAAATTAAAAAAAAAATTATCCAATAAGATATCAAAGAATCCTCAGGTACTTATGGGGCTTATGTGCATAATTATATTAGCATGGTTTTCTGGTAGCACTGCCCTCTGTTTCTTGTCTTAGTATTTTGATTCCTATTTCTATTAGCTGTTTTTCATAGCAGTTACAGTCATTCTGATGCTCTCAAGCTTAATGTTCTTCTAGACTTCAGTTTTCCTCTTCCTTCTTTAGGTACCACACTTCTGGTGCTTCAGCTCAGTCAGATCCAGTGACTCTGGAGAGACCCTTCAGTGCTCACGCTGTATTGCAGGTGCTGTTTCTGGCTTCTGCCTTCTAGCTAGAAATCCCAGTATTTAACTAGATTTTCAAAGTGCCTTCAATATGTCTAGTAATATATCCTTAACATGAAAACAATCCTCAGTGACTTTTATAAAGGAGCTGTCCCCATGGGAAAACATTCAAGTCAAATTTCTAATGATTTGATGATAGTAGTATGTTACATAGATGTCCCTTCTTTGTGTATCTCCTTTACATGCTCAAACCCCTTCCAATAGGTGGGAAAGTCTAATTCCATGTTTTTCTTTCTTTGTCAGTTACCGAATGGAATATGAACTGCTAATGATGTTTTACGCTGTGTTTATAAAATATGTTATTAATATGTAATTTTACAGTAAAATAGAAATGAAAAAGTCAAAACCAGAAGAGAATGTTTGGCTGACCTTTTAAGAAATGTTTTTGATTGATGCAATGTAGGACGCTGTAATCTATGGCTGGCTTTGGGGGCCTGGCCCTGAACAGTGCTTGTGTGAGGGAAAGGAGGGGGGAATTGTTTTCCCTGGAAGTGATGCAGCAGCATCCAAATTCGGTGCAGCTGGAATTTTGGTTCAGTGCTTTGAAGTGGGATGAGACACTTCCAGTAGATTGTCATCCTCTCTGTATTTCATGAATCACCCAAAGCTGCATGCTGTGCCATCTGCTAACAGTTTGAAGCCACCAAATCCCCATTAGCAGTATTGTCTGGGTTGCTTCACAAAAGGCTGACTAAGTGTGCCTAGAGCTTGACACAGTCTCAGGATACCAAAAATGGTAAAAGTTGTGACCACCCGAGAGGAAGGCAGGTGTCATTGAAAGGGCCTAATGCTTTGTAGAGATTGGATGCTCTCCTGTCTTGAGAAGTTAGAAATGCTTGTATACAAGATGAGGCTGGAATCGAAACTGCTTGAAGAGTTTATGAAAAACTGAAAACAAAGAGCTAAAAAATGAATCTCAGTATGAACAAAGAGTACTCAGACTGGGAAAACAAGAAAAGTGGCCTTTTCTCTCACACAGACAGCTGCTTGGCACCTTTTGCAGAAGTGGAAGAGACTTAAATTCTTGTCCTTCTCATTTGTTTTTTATGCAGTGCTAGAACTACTTGTTTTTCATGTTAGATGGAGCTCTACTGAAGTAATAGTCCTGCAGTATTTGCATCAGGATAATTGCATCATACAATCTGCCATCATTCTTTCCAAAACAAATGAGTACAACTAGATATACAAGATACACAAGAGATAAGGAAGTTAGATAGTCTTGTCCAAGAAAATATCCCGAGACTTTGGTTCTCAAAAATCTGAGGCAGGAATTGGGACATCTGTAAAGAAGGTGGAAGAAACACTTGAAAATATGCATTGATTGGGTGGGAGAGCAGGAGAAGTGAATATTCTGGTTTCTTTGTGTGCCTCTTTCTCCACAGAACTAAATTCAGTGAATTCTGTCTGCCACATGGTTTATTACATATACAAACACAATGTGCAGGAAATAAAGTTTATAGTTCTCAACTGCAGTAATGTCTTAATGACTGCATCACAGCAGACACAGTGGGTTCATTGTATGCTCCAGGTTCTGTTCTAGATGGACAGAATTTACAGTCCTCATATCTTGGTAAATATAATCCCTTGCTAAATGTCAAAAAGTTAACTCTAAAGACAGTCACCTTCACTGTGATGAAGCCAAAGTCCAGATCTTTGTTCTGATGTAAAGGCTGGCTTTGTCCATATAAAATAATTTTGAAGTCATACATCCATATACTATCCCCCCTGCCCAAAAAAAAAGAAATATTTAGTAGAAAAATTAAACAGCATGTCAGATGCATCAACCATTCCACTGGAGAGAAAAACTAATATGGACTAACATTTTTAAAAAGATGAGCCATGTTAATCTGTTATGTTTTATGTGTTTCAGTTAGTTTTTGGACTTAGGTTTCACATACATGTGGGGAAGTTTTTAATTGTGACGATGTCATGATAAATAGTGGAGCTTGAGAGCTTCGTGAGTGTTTTAGATGCTGTTACAAGCTATTTGAAACTTTTATGTTTTAGTGTATAAAGAATTTTTTTTTTCCAGCATTTGACCAATTCCTAGTTCTGAAAGTGTTTATGTGCCTGTGAAGAGTCCTACCAAAGTCAGGTTTCTTATATAAATAATTTCTGCAGACATGTAGGAAAGCTTATGCCTGTGTATATAATTTATGTACTTGATTAGTTCCTGTCTTTGAGGAACTACTTGCTGTATTTCTCAGTAGTTTTCAAGTATGAGATCCTAGTGTTTAACTGCAGTAGATAAGAAATATCTCCAATGTTTTCTTTCACACTTAAGTAAAACTAAGTTCGGAACAGCCCTGAGAGAGTGATGAATTAAAAGTGAGATGTTTAATTTAGACTGGGCTTCAATTCATATTGTTCTTAGTCCATTATTTATAAGAGGTTTTATGCTTTACTGTAAATGCTCAGTGTTTGAGGTCACCATTTCTTTCTGCTAAACCGTGTTGAACTTTAATGGAACAATTAAAGTAAAAAATCTTCTATGTACTGTTCCCATTCTTCATGTTTATATAAACTTATCTTTATTCTTTGTTACTTTGTAAATTACTTTCCTGACCTTTTTGCTTTTGCAATGGTCAAGCAAAATATATAAATTTTACAAGTTCACATAGAGGTTGAAGAAAAACAGTTGAATAATATTTATAGGTGCAAGGACTACTTTGAAATTACAAAATATTAAAGTAGTTGGCTTTGCATGAGGTACTAATTAATTAATCTAGTCCTAATCTGTGCTTTTGTATTTTTATTTCTTACAGCATAAAGCATTAAGGCATAGTTTTACTTTTTTCTGTGTGATGCACCAGTGCATGAGTAGCACATACAGAGTTAATAAAACATAAACACTAACATGCTTTGCTTTGCTGTTAAAACTACCTCAGGATTTACCAAATAATCCAACTCTTTTTGTGTCTCAAGGAAACGATGTGTAAGTCCAAGTCAAGATGGGACTTTTCTTTGGGAGCTACAATTACTGTTGATGGATGCCAGCTAGATTTATTGACTGATTCTTTTTATCTTTTAGATCGCATTACAGGCTTAATGATGTCTGTCACGTCCAGAAAGGCTTGTGACATTGATGGTAGAGGAACTGGTCAGCTGGGATATTTTATTTTGCAAAGATAATGCACATCAGGCACTTGGGAGGATGAGCTTGCTGCAGATGAGACACTTTCCGACTAAGCCAGGCAGGGGGAGCACCAAGTCTGGATATCCTCCTGCAGTGGAGCCACTTCTGCTTTACAAGTGCCTTCAGAATACCCTGACTTCAGTGAATATTTTGTCCTAAACTCTGGAAGAAACACAGCTGATAGCATGGGATCAGCTGTTTGCTGTTTATGTTTCCAGGCTGTATCTGCATAGTCTAAGATGACTGCAGTATAACTGTAATTTATTATGGTTAATTGGAGTGAAAATGCAGAAACTGAAGCCAGCAGAAACTGATGTAGAAGGCTCTTTGCTACTCAGAGAGGGAACAGTGTTTCTGCATTTTTTATTGTGTTCTTATTTTCTGCCTTTATCCAGATTAAGGTACATCTGCCCCTACTGTTATGTTGCACCCAGTGGTCTTGCTGTGGAAAGAGGAGAGGATTTTTGCTTTCCTCCTTGGGGAATGCCTTAACCATGAGAAGGTTATGGAGCAGGTAAGCACTGTCTCTGCTCTTTTCCTCTGCACATCTTTAAAAGAAAAGCGTTCTTTGGAAAGGAAACTGTGGGAATGTGCTTATCAGGTGCGTGCTGGACTCTGCACACGACATCACCCTTTGTCCTCCAGAGCTCAGTGTCCTGTGCTGGCAGAGGGCACAGGGGGAGGATTTGCAGTGGCATTAATTACACTGGGTGTTTGCTACAGAGCAGTCCTAGGAGTTCCCATCTTCCTGGCTGTTTTGGACACTAAGTTCCCTCTCAGTGTTGTAGTAGTGAACACACTTCTCTGGAGTTTCGAGACCATCTGACTAAAAGATACAGACCTAAATTATCAGATTCTTTAATGGAGTTGGGTGCCAAGCGTTTCTGTGAAAATCTTCTTTGGCAATGTGTATTTTACATGCTACTTTTGGAACAGTATCTTTGTATTAGCAGCAGTGAGGAGAATCACAGCATGTCCACGTATGACTGGTTGGGGGTAAAGTTGGGACTGCCCTCAATTGCTGTTCAGTTTTTGCTGCCTTCTTGGCTTGATATTTTCACACCCAGTCACCATAAAGCACTGCTGTAGCATGTTAGATTTGCCTGTTCTAGGCTAGATGAGGCTGAATGGTGTTTATAATTGCCTTGTAATTTCCACAGTCTAGCATGATTTGGCTTTAAGCATACAATGTTAAAAATAACTTTTTAATACAAGTCAAGCAAATCATAATAAGCAAGTTGCTGGCAATAGTCCTTCTGGTGTAGAGAAGTCTTACATTCACTGATTAGGAGTGTACATTAATTCAATCACAGAGGTTAATATTAACTCAATTAACTGAAATCACTTTATATCATATTTTGGAAATTCATTAATTAAGGAAGTTTGTGCTGATGTTCAGTTGCATCAATTGTCTTATGATCCATTTTGTTTGCATCTCTGTCTCTCTTCAAGTCTTTGGCACCTACCGATTTTTAAAGAAAGCAGTCATGCCCATAGTTTAAAAAGTCTAAATTCTTAACTGGACTGAAAAAAACCCTGTAGCAGCACCCCTTTTTGCCTCAAGACATTCTGGTTTTGTTTTCTCTGGATTTTTTTATTTTATTTTTGTTTGGTGGATTATATATCAACTTCACGAGCAGACATGTTGCATTTTACGTTCTTAAGTAATCATGGTAGTGTCTTTACATAGATAGAAAGAAGCTGGCCTGAAGTTACCTTGGTGGACATTTTGATGAAATAATTTTTTTGCTCATTAAACTGCAATTTGCATTTAAAATCCTGCATGAATAATGATATGACTTTGATATGTTACCACTTATGGAAGGTTTTTCTGTCACAAAAAAGAAAGAGAAAGAAAATAATAATAATAGAAAAAGAAAAGAATTATGTGTAGTTTCCTGGCTGAATAAGTTATCTACTGTCACAGTAAACCAGTAAAACATTCTTGCTTGTCAGTCACTGCTTTTGAACCCCTGTATGTCCACCAAACATGATATTTTATTATTTCATAGCTCTTTTGAACAGAATAATGTCAATCCTTACTGTATCTGCCAAAAACCTGTCATGATAACTTCTGATTTTTATTTCATTTCAGCAGGAATAAAATTATCTGAGTCATAGACCTGTGCAATGTTTTGATTTGGAAATATCAGTTAACCCCTTTCTGAAAAGACAGGAAAAGAGTATTTTTTAAAGTTTAATTTGAATAGGTACATTCAAAAGTAACCCTTAGGCTGGAGCTGAGGGTGCAGTGGAGCCTCTGAAAGGCTCTAGTTAAGGCCTAATGGATACAGTAAAAAAGATAGTCTAAAGCAGAAAAAGTTAACAATAGAGTGCAAGAATCTCAGATGGCACTAGAGTTTGTCTCCTCTGAACTAAGTGTCACGAAATCAGTCTGCAGCAGCACTAGTTCCCATGTGTTTATATAATTGTGGGAATAAAATCTAATGAAGCCCTCTAAAGCAAAATTTTAGCATTTGTTATTGGTTTTAGTTTCCTCCCATTGCCATTTTGGGTCAACACCTTCAGACAGAAGAAGAGCAGAAGCAGTTCTGGTATGAATATTAGTATTGCATATTCCTATTTAATATGTGAAATGTGGGAGTGGGAATATTCCTCTTGTATATGTAGGTGTGAGTTATGCTTTTTTTTAATTCTTTTCTTTAAAACCAGTTTTGACTGTTACATGTGCTTGCATGTCAGCATTAGTTTGTGTAAATTAAACTTCAGGTGCATAAAGACAATGACAGCTGCAGAGAGATGCTCCCTTCTCTTTTTCTAATCTTAGCTTTGATCTTTAAAAAAAAAAATCCTGGAAGTTAAAATTCAAATATTTTCATTAGGGTGTCAGGAAGAAGAAACAAACAGAAGAACAAGAGAACTCCTGCCTCTTTCTTTCATCCCAAACCTTGCCTAAAAACCTGAAGGTGCTACTCACAGTATTGCCAAGTTATCCTACTACAAAGGGCTGCTCAGGATTTATAATATTAATTCCCTAAAAACATAGGCTGTGTTTGATTTTTTTATTTATTTATTTTTTTAGTGCTGGCTTCACTCGCTTACTGAGGATCTTTTCTATTTGTACAGTACATGTTAGATAAAGAAACTATATACTTATGTTAGATATGCCTCCCATTCTGTTACAACTAGATTACTCTTTTTAAGTACTGCTAGAGCAGAACGTCAGGAGCAGTCAGTGTCTCGTTCTTGTTCTTCAAATGAGTTGTTGTTAGAAACTGCATCTAATCTAAATATCCATCCTCAGCCCACCCTTCCAGAGCTGTCCATACCAGGGCACAGATTTCCAGTTCCTTCAGTTTTAAAAGGGAATATGTCCTGTAAAATCCCTTGCATGCGACTCACCACGCTATGACCTGATGGCAATGTTTGTTTCCTGTTTCATAATGGGGTCTGGCAGGTGGGAGAAAGTAAACCTGAGCAAAGAGAGAAGACCTGTATGTCTTGAAAAAGTAACTGCAACCTATTTTTATCTTTTTCCTGCTGTCAGAAGGATGTAAGCCTGTATGAATAGGGCCTGCACAGATTCCAACATAGGTACATTCCATACAATGGGGATATTGAAACTTTTACCCCTTAGTCCAGAAGTTACTCTACTGAATTTCACAGAGCTGAGTAAATTGACTGAATTCAACAGCTCCTGAAAGGAAATGTGTAGAGCATCTTTTTATGCACGAGGGCAGAAAACCTTTTTATGGATTGCTGCCTTTGCCTTGCAGGTGGCTGCAGTATTGCACCCAGGGCATCTCTGGGAAATGTGGATCTTGCTGTTGATAGAGGTGGTGGTGTGGCTGCTCAGCAACAAACCACGGGAGAACAAGTCCTGGCATAAATAATAACAGCAGCTCTGATTCTGCAGGGGGTGAAGCTGATGAGTGGTGTTTTGTCCTTGGCATCAGATTTGGGCTTCCTCTTGTTGCACCAGACATAGACTCTTTTGACCAGAGACCCCCAGGGTGTGTTTTGCAGCATGGGCCTTCTGTGGCCCTGCTGCTGGCATGGAGGAGAGCAGTTTCCCAGTTTTCTTGGACACTCTGATCAGCTTTTCAGTGTGCTTTCTGACACAGCTCCAGTGTACTGCCTTGTGGTGGTGTCTGCTTCTATCCAGAGACTTCTCTCGGGAAATAGCTGAGCTAATTTTAGAAGCAAAAACAGTCAAAAGAGGCCCATTTCAAATGCAGCCAGAGTACCTCCTGTCTAATCAGTTCTGAAATCTGATTGATGCTAAAGCCTTTTCTTAGCAGAATGTTTATTAATCTTGAAGGGGGTGGGGAGAAAAACAACACAAGAGATCTTTTACGAGGCAGACATAAATGAACAGAAGCTCTTTAAATATGAACTTGTGGGAACTGAGAGATTGATGCAATACATCACAGGGACAGAAAGGCCAGACGACAGCTTTCTGAGTACATGTTGGCATAAAATCAGATAGAGAGAAAAGAAACTATGGTACTTTTTGCCTGACATGACCTGAGGAAAATTACTGGCCGTTGTGTGGCTCTTGCATCGTTGTCTCGGGCATATCATGTTCTGTAGTGATTAAAATACAACTTCTGGTGACAGCAGGAACCCAAATGCCCTTCTGAATTGTGTAAAAAGTGCGACAGTTGTTCCTTCAGCCCAGGTCATGTTTCAGTATGTGCTTCAGCAACTGCTTTTTATTCCATTTGATTCCTGTATCATTGTTCTGAATGAAAACAGAGGAAACACAAAATCTTAGGGCAATATTCTGTTTATAAGAGGAAAGGTCACCTGTTGTCAGGGTCTGTGAATATTGCATGGATTTACACTGTTCCAGGAAGACAGGGAAGACAAAATTGAAATCAAGCATATTTTTAAATCTTTCATCTAAGCTCTCTTTTACTGCTCTTTTTCAAGTTGTGCTGCAGAATGAACAGCTTCAGGAGAATACGTTTTGCACCATGAGTAGAACTAGTGTTATTTCCATAGCAGGGCTACTGTTGAAGACTCTTTTCTTATACTGACTACAAGAGGCTGGGAGATGAAGAAAGTCCTGAAGAGAGGGCATCTGTCATCCATTTTCTGGTGTTTGCTCCTGAATAGACCTTTACCATGTTCCATTTCACACAGGTAGGGTTTTTTTGCACTGAGTATTTTGTCCTATTTGAGTCTCACATAGCTGTTACTAGACTTTAAAATGTTACTTAGATGCAGGCATGAGAAAGAGACTTTAACCTAAATAAAGTAGGCTTGAAACTAATGTATCTGAATCCAGCTTTAAACACTCACATTTTGGGCTGCGCAAGTTAAAAGGCACCACATTATTTGGAACTGTACATACGTTTCTCCTCTGACTGATACATGCAAAACAACTAATTCCCTCTTATTTTTTGCTGAGATGATGCTTCCCAGTCTTCCTTGTAATCAGCTTCAGAAAAAGAGCAGTTTTTCTCTGTGCAAAATGTCTGCCGTAAAGCTGGTGCCATTCTAGGACATCTTGTTACATCTGATTGTGCCTCAAATGTCATCTTATTTTTATCTCTGTAGTCTGGGCCAGAATGAACACTGATGAGCTATTTCTTGCGTGATTTAAGTTCTTGGAGCACAGCTGATAAGAGCTGCAACAGTCATGCGATGTACGGCTTGTTACAGCTCTCTGCTGGAGTGGGTTTTACCACGCTCTGGCTACAAACTGTAGTGGGAGCAGATAAGCCTGTGCTGAAAGGTTTTGACAAATCCTACTGAGAGTGTTTTTTGAGAGCTGTAGGACCTTTTTGAAGATATATGTAGAGATCCAATGTGAGGCATGGAGTGAGAGCCCTAAGGCAAAGAAACTGCTCTACTGTTCATTTGCTTAAAATTACTTTGGTGCTTAAGTCACTTCTGAGCCAAAAACAACCAGATATTAGACCTCAGTGAACTTGTGAATGTCAGAAATATTTTGGGAAATTTTGGAATCCTTCATCATAACCACGTATTTGGCCAAGATATGATGTGTGGCCCCAGTTCAAAGAAACTGTAAATACTGCCATTTATCCAAAGTATTATTCCCTCGCTATGTCTAAACTTCAAAGAAAAGCAGTTTCTTAATAGTTTGTATGATGCTATAAATAATATTTTTCTTTATTGCATACTGAGAAAAGAAAAGCATTTCATGAGTCATACTTATTGTGGGGTCTGCGGACAAAGCTCTCAAGGCTTTATGAGTTTTCACAATGTGCAAAAGGCTTAAGATTCAACAGTCTGGCTTCTTCCAACAATAAATTAAAAACAGATTGTTAAAATACTTTGACATGAGTAGCTGAACCTACTTCAAGACACACCTTGATGACTGAGCTGCTCTCAGATTCAAGCAGAGGAAAGGAACTATATGCAAAACCTCCTTACAGGTCAGATGAAGGAAAATCTTTGTCCAGAAATTCCTTGGGTTTGATTGGTGTTATCAGTCAATAGGGTGGAAGTAATATGTTTACTGAATGCTGTAATGCATAACTACCAGGATTGTTTGGGGGTTTTTTAATTACTTACTTGAAATGAAACCTGCTTAAGAGAAGTGACACTTAGCCATGATTTACTGCAAGTAACACAAATCCTGTTGTTACAACTCTATTCCTGTTGAAGTCCATGGCAACAGAGAGGAAAAATTGATCCTCCTTATTATAATTTAAAACTTCAAGCCAAATTGCCAGATAAGCTATGTCAATACCATTTTGATTAAATATCAGATCTCTAAATGTGGAAATTCCAATTAGACTGTTATCTTCTGTAAAACAACAAAAGCAAAACCTGAAAAGACAGTGGTTTTCCAGGTGTGCAATTCCTTACCCACAGTATTATCTTCTGCAACTAAGTACCTTTGAGTGACCCAAGTGCTGCAGTTTTTTACTGTCCTGTGCAAGTATCAAAAGATGTGAAGTTCAGTGGGTGCATCTAGATGTTTAACCAGGTCTTCCTTAGCTAGAAGGGTAGTGGCAGTATCCTTCCTTTTGTCTGAACAACAGCTGAAATAATAAACCACACTCTGTGACTGGACATGGCTTTATCTTCAATACCTCTCTGACAGGAGAGAAAAGCAATCAGAGCCATGGTAAGGACAGGATCACCAAGAAGTGATTGAATTTGAATTCAATTCTTCTTCGAACACATTTCCTGTGTCTTCAGATATGTCATCCAGAAATATCCATTTTGCAATGGCTCTGAGGAAAGCATGTGATACCCTGGACCACACTGAATGATCTTCTGACTGACCAAATCTATTCCATAACATTTGCAAAGAGTCCAGTAAATACATCTGGGAAGCGTTTCCATTTGTGCGCAAAAGCAAATATAACTGACCCTTTAGTACACTTCTGCAGACAGTCACGTCTATGAACTTTGCATCTGCAGAGATTGCACTCAGATTGCCTCAGATGCTGTGCCCAAACTTAGAAGGCTGAAATGAAACTCTTAAGTTTAACTTTTTTTTCACCCTTTTGAGAATGAGATCCTCTTGAAAAGCTTTGGTTTGTTGATCTATCCCCAGCTTTGGAGAAGAACTTTCTTATCCCCACTATGCTTCCAGTTTCTGCTTTTCTAACATGTAATAGTCTCTCATTCCTTTCAATTTGGAGACTGGAGAGAACAATGCTATATTACTGTAGAATATTTTTTAACTTTGTTTTTCATGAAATTTTTACAGGTGAAAATACCATAAGACTAGTAATTGGTCCTATTCAGTAAGGAAATGGAATATTTAAGATTTCTAGATGAGACCACTGAGATGAGGGATTGTGCTGCCAATATTTGAGTAACTATTAAAACACAGTAAACACTGTGAGAATGGATTGATGCAAGTGATAGTAACTGCAGTATTTCAGATGTTCAGTATTTGCAAGTCAACAGCTTTTGTGCCTTCTCCCTCTCTGCTTGCCTCTCTGCAGCATTTGCCATCTTTTTTTTAGGACTTTATGAAGACTTTTCCTGTTATGTTCTTTTTACTGTCTCTTAAGTATGATTTGGCTCTATGTACTTGATGAATGTTAAATGAACTGTAGGGAAATACTTGATTACTTGGGAAATCAGCTCTTAGGGTTGTTATTTTTTGTTTAACTGTACGGTTAAGTCCATGAAACAGCAAGATACTCAAGCACAGACCTCTTCAATGCACAGCTTTTTTACAAATAGTAAATGACTGCTTCAGTGGTATCTCACCTAACACACAAATGTCAATATTTATAGGGGGGTTTCAGTGTGTCAGGGGGTACTTAATAGCATTTCCATGCAAGGGATCATGATTTTCCACCATCAAGAAATCTAAAGCCTTTTATTGACATGGGGTAAAGATACTGGCAGCAATTAAAACCAATACTAGAACAGTAAACAAAGGTTGATTTTGTATATTTGTCACAGGCGTTCATCCAAACTAAGCTGTTTCAACTTGAACATGCAGGTTGGAATAGCTGAGCACAGACACAGAGGTGCTACTTAAGGACAAGATGAAGTAGTGAATAAGTTAGTTTTCAGTATCTGGCCTTCTCTAAGAGATCCACTTGTCTCTTTGGAAACCGCTGTAAAAATTCAGATTAACCTCAGTAGAAGATGAAAATAAATATTAGCATGCTGTTAATAACCAGTGTGATCCCTGTGGACCAGCTTCCAATATATTTTCCCTAGCTAGTGTCCCAGTGTATCCAATGCAAGTTTAGCTTCAATAAGAATAATTAGTAGGGAAAGCTGGGTCTCATCACTGTACTGCTGGTCCATGAGTGTAGGACTCTATTCTCTTTTGCTCCTTAGGAGACTAAATCTCCATGACTTTGAAAACTTCTGTGTTTTCAGTCTTGCTACCAAAATTCTTTCCGATAGTCTCAGTTGAACAGACATACCCTTCAGCTGTAAAGGTAACCAGCTTAAACCAATCAAATTCTACCTGGGAATTTTTTAGGAGTTTCTCTTTGTCCTAACCCTCTCCTTCTGAGAAGTTCTTTTAGGATCTCACTGTTCTACGAGTCAGGTAGTTTTCTCCTATTTCCAAATTCAGCCTGTTCCCAGGCCACAGATGGTCTTTTGGTCTTAACTTGTAGAAATCTGTGCAGGAAGTGCTCACTGTTTCTCTCAATGTTTCTTTCTTTTGTTTCTTGTTTGGCTTTTTATAGTAAACAAGGAAGCCTTTCCCTCAAGAGGCTGATTTTGGCCTCTTTATTAATGTTCAACTAGTAACTTGTGTTCCTATGCTTTGCACTAAATCCTTTGTGCAGAAAACCTGAAAAAAAGTTAACTTTCTTCTTCCTGTGCAGAACAATCTTTTGTGATCCATGAAGGGAAAATAAGAATTTTTTTAAATTTACCTGTTAAATTCACCTGAATATTATTCAAATATAAAATACATACAGTGATGGGACATCCTGGAATCTTGAATTTTCAAGTTTAAAACTGGTAGATGTTAAATGACCAATAATTTGTCAATATAATCTCCTAACTAAGTCTGAAGGATTAGTGATGATCTCTTTGCTAAACATATCTTCTGCATTTATCAATTAGCTTGTTTATTGGAGATTTTTGGTCAGTGGTTCTTTTAAGACAGGGCAGCTGAGACTGTCAGCTCTGCTGACTTAAAATAGCTTTAGCACTTTGGAATTTATGACTTCAGAAATGAATGCTGTGGGTTCTATTGGCGATTAATAACTAAAACCTGTAATTATTTCTGGGGGACAAAACAGGGACTGTTTCCTTTTCATTGAAACTAATGTAAGTGTCATGGGTTTGTACAAAATGCAGTTTTTCATTTGTCTTGGTCACACAACATACCAGCTGATGATAAAGACAGTCAGAAAAAAAACCTCCTCTATAGTTTTCAGATTTCATATTATTTACATGAAACTAGTGTGAAAGTTAATCCTGTAGCACAGCAGAAAGGGTTGTATTACAAAGTATTTTCTCAGACAGAACACTGTTTCTAACCTAACTGTATGATGAGGTCAAATAGACCTTTCAGTTGGTTGAGATATTTTTGTTTCTTGCTTGGAGGAGAGCAGAGGGAGGAGGAGATGCACAGGAGAACTAAGACAAGAATTTGTCAGTGTATTTAAGGAGATCAGTCATAGAAATCACGTGTGTATCAAGCACATCTGGTCCTGGTCTTCTAGTTTTAAGATGAGGATAAAATATTGAATTCCTAGAGTCAGAAAAGAGCAAAGGCAAAGGAAGCCAAATCCATTGTCAGCAAGTATGTTTCCAAATAAAGAATAGTTTAATTATGTTTCCTTGTTAAGCCTGTTTTCTAGAATTTAAAAATAACTAAGAGCACTCTTTAATCAACACTGCAAATTATGATCTGGCAGTGACCCTGTGTCGAGCATCCTGCAGGTCTGTGCTGTCTGGGTGGTCACAGTGGGGACAGATTTATGAGTTTTTCCTGAATGCCTCCTGGACAGCTGGGAAGGAGGCCACTGTTCTTTTTTGGCATATAAATGAATGCCAGTTGTGGGTAGTGTTGCCTAAAAAGACCTCAGAGAAAAAGACTCTGGGCCAGTTTAGTGTATAAGATAAGTTAAAGAGAGCAGGTCCTTTAGTGAGGCCAGAGGAATACACACCCTGCATGCCTGCCCAGATAGTGGCTCTGTGATGTCATAATAAGGTCCATCCAATCCCAGATCTGTCCATCCCCAGTTCTGCCCCCCTCCACACCCCTTCAGGAATTGGGTCTGGGGGCGTTTGGGACCCCTTCTTCCTCATCATCTTCTTCAAAGCAGGTACAGTCCTTGGAGCTTCTCCAGAGTTCTGGGCTTGAAGGTTGCTCTGTCTGCACGATATCTCCTGGTCCAGGCTTAGAGTGAGATGTTCTTAAACGGGTGTTTTTCTACAATTCTACCTTGAAAAGAAGGCTAAACACACCAGAGGAATTTAGAGGGATTGATAAAGGGTAAGGGATATAATACAGCTACATTAAAATCTACATTTACTACAGAACTACTTCTAAAATCTATAAAAGTTAAAAAATCCAAAATAAAGCTCTGAGGCATCAATAGTGGCAAAACTGAAAGTTAGGTCTTGCCCTTTACTTCCAGATAACTACCTCCAATAAAAAATAAAAAGGTGGGATTTATCTCACCCACTTCAGATATATAGGTGCAGTTACTGAGCACAAACTGAGTGCAGAGAAATAAGTTTATCTGGAGTGTTGTTTGCTTGCTGTTTTAAACATTTTTCCATTTAAAGCTGAGTAAACAACTTTGAAATGTCCATTTCTCTTCACCAAACTTAAAAGAAAGTTTGGCAGCAAGTCTAAACATAGAATTTTTTTATTTAGAAGTATGAAGTTGGGCAAAAGTTCCTCCCCCTCAAAAGAGGCTGTTTATAGAGCCTCCTTTCTGCTTATTCTGTTCATTAGAGCTCAGGTAGGGATGCTAATTTTGCAGCACTTAATTAAGATACAAAAGAGGCCCTTATGTCATCTGGGGAGCTGCAGTGGTGCCAGGTAAATCAAATTCTCCCACCCCAAGGGCTTCCTGGGGATCCCACACTCAGGGGTGACAGAAGGCCAGAGTGCAAACCTTTACCTCCTCTCTCTCCTCATGTCTAATATATGGGGAATTACCACAATATATCAACCTTGCTTTATTAAAGTATTTCAAACCAATGTTTACCAAACTCTCAGATTTAGACCATGATGGTCTAAAAGGTGCTGTCCACCAGTGCTTCTGGGATAAAACTGCCTAGTGATTCACAAGAATTTTAAAGAGTTGCTGGTGGATCTAAAAGAATTCTGCCTACCCATTTAAATTACATATGTGATGATTTTTCAGTGTTTTCCTGTTTATACTATCCTTAAACTTTTTTATAAAATTAAATGACCTGTTGTTCCTCCAGCTCTTTAAAAAGAAAGAAACAATTTCTTGCTGCAGGCATTAACTTATTTATGTAATTGGGCCAAATCTTAATTGTATGTATATCTGTATCATTCTACTAATTTCAGTGAGAAAGAACTCACTAGAACTGGTAACTGAACAGAAATTCTGCTGCTTAAAAGCAACTGATGACCCAAGAACAATAGAAATGTCATTATATGTGTTTATAGTGTCCTCTAAAACAGAATAAGAAATTTAATGAGAAAATGTCTGGAGGAAGGAAAATATTGCATTATCTCTGCATATTGTATTGTCATCTTCAAAAACTACTCTGAAGGAAGAATGAGTCATTTTGGAAAACAGAGAAGGTAATGAAATATCCATGAAAGGTCTGAAAACTGAATGGTTACAGTGTCTACTATAAATAGATTTTCATAAGCTAAATAAGAGATTTCAGTAAAATATCCAGGTGCTGACTTGGACAAGTCATTAAATGTGTTGGGAGGTGGGGTTGCCTGAGTTTCATATTCTCGTGGAATAATTAAGAATTCTCAAGTCACAACAAGTATTACAGTGTGGTCCTTATTTTGGCTACCAGTGCTCCTCCTGCATCTCTTCTTTCTCATGTTATCTTGTTTGTTACTTCTCCTTGTGCATTGCAGAGTAATAGTAAATGTCTGCAATTATTGTACCTTGATGCTTGATTAAAGCAAATGAAAAAGGAGGGGGAGAAATCTGTGCAGTCAGAAGAAAGCTTTTGTAGTCAGGTAAAATATTATCAAGAAGAGAAAAAGTAATCCCTATGAAATGACTCTATTTCTAAAAAGAGGAACAGCTTATTTATTAGACTCTGGGCTGGTTCTTCTCAAAGACGAGCTGGTCATGGAGCTCATCAGTCATTTCTACCAACATCACAGCACCAGGAGTTGTGGAAAGAAGTGCTCAATTACAAGTGTTCTGATCTTTCCCTGTGACTCTGTGCCAGTAACCCTGATCTTAGGTTTTTCTTCAGCCCTGTTCTTTCTAGCTCTGACAGGCAGTGAGAGGGACACTTGTAAGCACTGCTGAGGAGAACAGTGGCGTCCCCCTCACATGAGTATTAGTTACTGCACGAAGAGCTTTATGGGACTGTAAAGTGTGATTCCTTTTCGCCCCCTCAACTTCACGAGTTCTCATATTTCTTGTCCTCTGTTCTTCCATACTATTTATAACCTATAGCTACGCAGATCACCCTCACTGTAGCTCCCCTGCTAGTTTAGAAGAATGTTATTGTCGCCCTTCTGTCTAAAATTACTCTAGCGTGCTTTATTTTCTCAGTTTCCTCTTATTATTCCCCCTCAGATCATTGTTCTTGATGTTCTTTCTAAAATTATTGTATTGATTTCCTGTCTCTCTCCGTGTCTTTTTATTATTAAGATGATAAATGTTTAAAGATAGCCTGTCATTTATCACATATATCACATCTCTCTTTTATCTTAGAAGAAAATTGCTACCCTGAATTTAGGAGCTGAATCACAAGTGTAATGGCTAGAAGAGCCATCAAACACCTCAGTGTTTTGTTTCATTACTTCATTTCCAGGTTGCTGGTAGAAAAGGACTATTTGTATTCCAGGAACAGTGATATGATGGTTTGCACTTAAATCTCTGAAACTAACTGCCACTGAGTATCTGTCAAAACAACTTCTAAAAAGAAGCTGCTGTAACAAAGATATCAGTCTTACTTAATTTTACATTAAGTGCAAAGCCTAAAAGTTTCAGGTCCATAACTTTGCTGCTTCTTTACCATTCAAACTTCAGAGTCAAATGATCCCATGTCAAAAGTCAACTGCAACTTGTAGGCTGCTACTGCTTTGGGTTTAAAGGCTTTAAACATATGAAACCGAAGTGGTGTTTTCGTATCTGGAACCCTAAGCCAGACTAGGTTCCTTTGATCTGGTAAACTGTTACATGTTTTGATTTAAAAGGGAATATTTTGCACTTTTACTCACTCAGAGCCAAGTCTTTGTAGGTGTGAGCTCACATACCTGCTGGGGGAGCCTCCTGTCTCAAGGGGCTGTGCCCTCACTGCAATGTATAAACCTGGTCTTTGATTCAAACTTAATATCTCATGTCTGCGCTTCTGCTGATGTGCTGCAGTCAGATTGCTCTGGAAAAAGGCAGCTAAGGCTTGTCCTGCAGAATTATATGGTCCTTGGGTGCAAAGGAGGGGAAAAGGGGCACATGAGCACCTGAAAACCCACATGAATCTAGTGAGACAGGGAGAAATGGAGCTATGGAATAGAAAACTGGGCAAAGGGTATAGACCCACAAGAGCAGGGAAAGGTGGACGCTGCTCCTTGTGTGCTTGCTCAGAAACATCAGGAGGTTGGTATTCCAAGTCTCCTGCTGGAGGCAGAGGCTGGAGCGCCCACACCCTGTGTCTGAAGGGCAGCGTGGGCAGTGCTGATCTTCAGTGCAGCTGTGCCACCGCTTGAGGATGTCATGTAAAGAGTCAAAACAAAAGATAATCCAGCCCACATGTTGGAACATGGCTGGATACCATCAGCTTGAGTGGAATTTCACTCCAGTGATGAGTGAAATGGAGTACTCCATCATGGAGTACTATATTTGGAAAGATAAACATAAATGTATGCTTATATCCTGAATGCAAGTTATTCAAGTTAGATAAGACAGGAGAAAGTAAATATAAGTAATGCTATAGACCAGGGTGCCAGCTGACCTTGTGTTTTCTCAGCTCACTTCTCAGTATTTGTTCTGCTGAAAGGAATACTTGAGTGTTTCTTTGTAATGTTTGTGAAAGGATTGATGTGTTCATCTTTGTGCTTTTCTGTCTCAGCACTGCAAACAAGATAATGAGTGATTAATGTACTCTGGTAACTCCATGGGCACGCTGAGCGACACGCCAGCTGCTCCTGCTGAAGCCCAGGGGTGAGTACAGCAAGAGGAAGATGCATAATGTGTACAGTGTGTAAAAGGATCTGTGGGGAGGTGAGGATGTTTACTCAGCCATAAAGAGAACAGGTTTGTGAGTGTGTGTGTGACTCCATAGAAAACCCAATATCCTGTTTATCAAAGGAAGTCTCTTGTTTTTTCATGGAACGAGTCGCCCTTGCATTTGCATCTTGGGACAAGAGAAATAAGGAGAAAAAGTAAAAATAGCTGCAGTATCAAACCTTCTTCCTGAACCAACCACCCCCATGGAGGGTGGTTGAAAGGCTCGGCTCAGGCAGAGAAGTGTAATTGTGTGGTCAGCTCCCAGGTGGGAGTCCTGCTTTATCTCTGAACAATAGAATAATTTCCATCTGCTTGGTTGGAGCAGAAACCCTCTCTGTTTCTGACAATACTTGGCATAGCGTTGACTCTAAAACTGTGATTTTCCATTGTTTTTTTGACCCTTGGATGACTTTTTTCAGGGACAAAATTTTCCTACCTGCATGTTTTGTGTTCAGTGTCACTGGCTTTTCTGCTGCATTGTCACTAGGAGAAGGAAAGTGCAAGACAGTGGCTGTATGTAGACAACTTCACTCATTTTTAGTAAGGTCTTGCTGAGTGGCACCAGAGGGTGATGGCCTGACCACTGGAGATGTGAGTTGTAGAGTTAGTGATTTCCAGATCCATATTAGAGATGGAAACCTCTGCCCATTTAAGGCTAGTGAAAGTCATCTCAGGCTCCCAAGACTCAAAGAACATTTTTTCCATCTTGTGCATAATGACAGACAATAAATATTGCATTAGGCCCCATCAGGGCTGTAGCAACAGCAACGCAGAGGCTGTGATGCACATGCACAGCCTTGCAAATGGTTTTATTCATGATGCTCAAGATGGAATAAAGCCACGTTCCTTCTAGCTCAAGAGAGTAAGGAGAGGAAATTCGGACGCTGGCTGACTATCCCAGTGGCTCCCTTGTGTCACAAGCGATGGGAGGGTTTCTGGGGGGAAGGGCTGATGGGGAGAGCAGGCCCAGGCTCCAGCTGGGGGTCAGCAACGGTGGGAGGGAAGGAAGAGCTGAAGCTGCCTCATCAGGCTTCTCAAAGAAGAAAAAGCATGTGACTTTGCAGAAAGAGAATATCTAAGTTAGATCAACCACTGAGTACTTATAAAAAAAAAATTAAGGGAAACCAAAAACCTCGTGATTTTATTAGTTTTAGGCATGTGTTACTATCCCCTGTGGTGAGCCTGATAGCTTTCTTTGCCAAAGAATGGCTATAATAAAGTATCCTTAAAAACAAACCAAACATTTTTATATATGCTGCAAAGCTGTCCTAGCAAAATGCAACCCCTGACTGAACTTTGAAATGTCTGCTTCTAGAAATACAAACCAATGCCTTTATATAGCAGCATACTGACAAGGATAATTTATGTATTCCACAGTATAGAAAATCCTGGAGGCAGTGTTATTTTTAGCTGTGTAACCTTTAAGTATATTCATCTATATACTAGTAAATTGGATTTTAACAGGTGAATGACTTAATATAGCAAGGCAGATGAATTACAGATGTGGACAATGTCTGCCCAAATCGCTATTTTTTCCTGGCTCTAAATTATTCATCTGGGATGGCCAGAAGCCAGCTATGGGGATTATTGATAAAAGTGAGTTAAGAATAGATTAGAACATTTCTCTTGTGCAGTATAATGTTTCTTTGTTGACTGCGTTATTTTCCATCTTCCATTAAGTGCTACAAACCAGACTTTTTAAACCCAATTTTCAGCTATTCATGTTCTATATAAATAATATTATTATATATGCTTGAGTTCCTTGTTTGTAGGGCAAGGGGTGTTCTTTTAAAAGACATAATATTGCTGTAAACAAGAAGACAAACATTTCAGCATTTTGCTTAGGCATGGATTTTCTGGAGAAGTAGAACTCTTCTTCTGAGAACTTGCCAGCTGTCAGAGCTGGGTGGCTGAAACGTGCAATACCTTTTAATTTTAGTTGGTGGTGCCAGTGCAGTTGGTATTCTCCTTTGAGTATTAAAGTTTTAGCCCAGCTGTGGTTTTGTATATTTTTTTCTTCTTCTCTGTCCCTTTTTTCACTATTGCTCTTTATTTTTAATAAAACTAGATTACTGAGAAGATTAAAGAAATCTTTGGCCTGCACCAAAAAATGAAGAGACAGAGTTACATAAGGGGAATTAATTCGGAATGTGATAGTGGAAAAAAGCATCATTCCTTTTGAAGCATAAAATAAATGAGGTTTTATTCTACAATATGTGCAATAAAGTTCTAATAACTATGAAAAATAAATGAGGAGTGTACAGTGGTGTAATAAATGTGAAATGATTCTGTCTCTATGAAGATCATAAGGGTCATCTTTTTGCTAAACTAACATAGTGCTTCATTGCCTCTGAGATTAATTTGGGTTCCCACCTGTCATACAGAGGTTATAACTGAAATCAAGAAAAAAACCAGAAAGATTAAAAAAATCATTTATGAGGAAAAAAAAAAGATACAGAAACAAGTCAAAAATCCTGATGTTTCTTTTGGATTGGAATTGGAGTATTTTAGTCCTTGGTCCTTGAATAGCTGTAAACAAGTGGTAAAACCAGTAACAACAATTCTGGTGCTCTGTACCAGAAATATGGAGAAAGGACAGCAGGCAATTCCTATGTAAACACTAGAGGTTAAAGACTCAGCTCTAAACTCTGACCTTGCCTTTTTGTGTCATCAGCATATATTTCCTTGGTCTTTTTTTCCCCAGTAATGAGAATAATGCTTTCTCTTACATATTGTCAGAATTACTTTACTTATTTCCATGAATGCTTTTTTCAGTCCCAAGATGAACATTTTCTTGTGTGTAGTACGTTTCCATATGACTTTTAACTGTAAGATAACTGTAAAACAAACTACAGTTCATCAGCCTTGCTGGTAATACAAGAGAAAGCATTGTCCCAAACATCTTTCCTGGCAGTCTTCCTGCTTCTGACCTTTCTCCAGCTCTGGGTTTCTGATCTATTGGATATGATGAGTAACTTGGTAACACGAGTAAGAGTTTGCCTTTAGATGAATGGAAGCTGAGGTACAGGTTGCATATACGACAGTACTGTTTTTAAAATGTCCGGCTGCCTTATTTTTATCACTCCTGGCTTTGAATTAGTGTGTAACTGGGACAACTGGAAATACTGTAGTGATGTGAACTGTGGTGCTGCCTCTCAATGAAATGTCATTGCCATTGCAGTCATTATTTAAATGGCCTTCTAGAAAAAGAGATTTAGGTAAGAAACAGCAAATTGGGAAATGGAATTTGAATGACAACATGATCTAACATGCACAGTGTTTACAGAGGTGGTGCAATAAATTACCTGAGTTAACATATACAATCACAGAAAGAGAAGAAAGTTGAAAGTAGAAGATAGCTCCAGTGCAGTTTAAAGCTGATACTATCTCTCAGATGATTTTTTTTCCCCCTATTTGGTAATGTGCTGACTTATGATACAGAATCGTATCATTGAAAATTTGAGGTTTTTAAAATTACTGTTGTTATTCTACTAAGTCTCACTATTTCTTATATTCCCTTGTTGTTCTTCATGTTCCAGCCAGGGTATATCTCGGTGGCCAGGGTGACATTCATCAGGTGTTGTGTTGTTTACTATGGCAGTCTTGCCAATGCAATAACTTGTTTTGCTGCTCTTTCTCCTTCCCTGCCCTACCTCTTCCTTCCTCTGCCCTTTTTTCTGCTCACACTTGGCTGTGAAGTCCTGCCCCATCCTTGAACTAGTTGTGAGCCATAACTGAGCTAATTTATGTTTCTAACAACATGAGCTAAAACAGAATGGCCTGGCAGGTGCCAGACCCAACTGAACAAGCTGGCTGAGAGCAGGGGGAGGGCTGGAAAATAATGGTCTATGCAGAGAGGTTCTTCAGTTCTGTCACAAGAGACAAACCTTACTGGCATTGTGGCTGTTTGCTTTTGTTTGCTAACAGATTATAGAGGAATTTTTGAGGGATACATTCCGTGCAGGTAGCTCAGGGGGGAGCTGAAGTGTGAGTTCTGGGGGGCAGGAGCCTGAGGAAAGAGGCCATGAACTGCTGACCCTTTTCATGACAAAGGGCATGGGGACCTGGGGCACAGCCAGGTGAGGGACACTCAGAGACACAGTAGGAGCTGATGGCCCCAGACTCTACTGCACTTAGGCTGTGAGGGTATAAAAGCCACGGGGTTCCTTTGTTCGGGGTCCTTCCTCAGAGGCACCACCTCGAGTTGTTAATTTCTTAATTAGTTTTTGCACCAAAATTAAATTATTTTAAGGATTGAGACATCTGAGGAGACTCTGCTCTGGGAAACCTGGGGCTGAGCTGGTGAGGAAACCTGGTCTGACTGTGAGTGGGGGGGGTGTAGCTCCGGAGGGGCTTCGGTCCCAGCTCAGGTGGTCCAGATGTGACTGCCAAAGTAGCTCTTGGATTGTTGGATGGGGAAGCTTCCTAAACAATATAGAAACACTTGACCAAAATGCATCAGTTTGATGAAAATGTGTGGTTTAAAGAACCACAGCCAGAACCAGGACAAGCCCTGAGGGGCACAGTGGGAAGCATTTCCCCCATTAACCTTGGCACTGTTGTTCCTTGCCACTGTTGTTTCCTTTCTGCCAGTATGAAAAGTTTTCTCTTCCTGGACTTTGCATTGTGTTTCCCTGAAAGGTTTCAGTCTCCCTCATGGAAATTATGCAAATGTCCGTGTGCGCACGTAAAAAACTGACAATGGCACAAAAAGTACAGGACTAAAATAGGTTTTGCTTATAAAAAAAAAGAATCTATGTAGCAATGGGAGACCTAATTTCCCTTTTACATATTTAAATTATTAGGAGATAATTCTGTTCATGAGTCTGCCGAAGTCTCATTCAGAAAATGAACTATAAATTTTAAGAAGTGGATGCACAAATTTAGTGACAATGATGAAGTAAAAAACCCTGGGATCTAGAAGCAAATTAATT